TCATCATTGGGTTTGTATTGGGGTTTATTGGGTTTGTATTGGGGTGTATTGTGGTATGTTGGGGTATATTGGTGTATATTGTGGTGTATTGGTGTATCTTGGGGTTTATTGGAGTATATCGGGGTGCATTGGAGTGTATGGGGTATATTGTGGGCAAATTTCTTTACTCCACATGGCTAATAACAATCTCTCCAAAACAAAAAACAATAATAAATTGGTCATTTTCAATCCACGACTGTTTGTGGGACACTGCTGTGCGCAATTGCCTGCCACGTTTCGCCCACAAATATAAGGTCAATTCACTTTATTTATTTATATATTCTGTGAAGCATTTTGAGATGTCTAGAAGACGTGAAATGCCCTATATCAAATGTAAGGATTATTATTATTATTATTATTATTATCTAATTAACCGAATAAAGGCTTTTTTATAAAATGAAAGAATATATTCCTTGCATTTGATAAAGCGCCTTATTGCGTTGTTGAGACGTCTCAAAGCGCTTCACAGGATATACTGTAAACTGAATTGATTGTATATTTTTTGGGCAAAACACAGTAGCCAATTGCATACAGCAGTGTCCCACAAACTGTCATGGATTGAGTAACCAAATTATTATTTGTTTTTNGAAGGCATTATAATCCCCGGAAAGGGATCCACCAATTGATTAATAATCGGGTTCCTACTTACTGCTAGGCAAACAGAGGTGTGTGGAGTAAGGAAACCTGCATAAAGTTTTGCCCTGTCCAGGTCCACTCGCTTACGAGGCAAGTGCTACAGGACTTGGCACTAATAATAATACATAAGTGAGAGAAAACATCAAGCATTGACTTGTGTGCTTGTAAAGAGACAAGGTGAGGAAGGTAATTTTTTTTTATTCAATACCATTCTTCTTAGTTATGAACACTATAATTATTTCCCTCCTCTTTCAGATGTACTCACGATTGACTACAATAAATTTATAGCTATAGTTAAAATTGTCGAGGGAGAAATGTGGTGGACACAAGATGAAGTTCTCACCCACGTGTAACAGACACAGGTCTGAATGGTTACCTCACAGATAGCGATCCTTGAGAGAAAATCTAAAAGATCGATTGATGCTCTTGGGCATCACCAGAAAAAGGCTTCAAAAAAATATTGTGCATTTAGCTATTTTAATTGCATTGCTAAGTATGTGTGTCACTAATTACAGGGAGTGCAAAAATAACACTGGGTTGAGCTGGCCTGGTTGAACTACAGCAATGATATAAGAAGTGAAACTAAGGCCCCTTTCCAAACAAAACAAATCGGTGGTAAATTCTGACAATAATGTAATGCACCAAACAACTAAGATATTTTAGACTCCTCCTTTCCCCTGGAGCTCTACAAACACTCAGCAGGGCCAAAGGTACAAAATGCTTGAAATGTGCAACAGTCCAATAATTACAACATCAACAACAACTGACATTTATGCAGCACCCTTCACGCCAGGCAGCATCTCGGACACCCCAAGAGCAATTAAAGTTGCTCCTTAATTAGCAACTTAGAGTATAGGTTAACGTTTCAGGTGTTATGACCGCCCTCACTCTCCCTGTCAGTCCTCCCCCTACTCGCCCCCCCATTCCGCCACCAACTGTCCCCTCTGCATCTGCCTACAAAATGTCCGCTCCCTCTCCAACAAAACACTCACCAACCAAGACCTCATAGTCGACGAAAACATCGACATTCTCGCCCTCACTGAAACCTGATCACGCCAGGTGATACTTCCCCCTGACAGAGGACACACCACCCGGCTACACCTTCCATCGTACCCCTCGACCTAACTGTGGTGCGGTGTAGCTCTCATCTTCCGGTCCCTGCTTGGCCTATCCCTGAGACCTGAGTTCAATTCCAGGCAGGGCGAAACCTTGGGCAAGTTTCCTTACTCCACACGCCTAATAATAATCCCTCCAAAACCAAAAACAATAATAAATTGGTCATTTTCAATCTACGACTGTTTGTGGGACATTGCTGTGCGCAATTGGCTGCCACGTTTGCCCACAAATATACAGTCAATTCACTTTACAGTGTGTTCTGTGAAGCACTTTGGGACGTCCTCCCGACGTGAAAAGCGCTATATCAAATGCAAGGATTATTATTATTATTATTATTATTATCCCCTTACTCCTCTGGAACCTTCCCCTCCTTTTGGGCACCAAATCCTTTATCACCACCCCGGCTCCTACCCATCCCTCCCTCCACCCCTTCGAACCCGTCTCCCACTCCTTTCTCACCACCGCTATAACCCACATGAAACCCATCCCTATCTCCCAGCTCCACCTCCTTGCCCCTCTACTCACAGACATTATAAACCTCTCCGTGTCCACTGGTACTGTTCCCACCCCATTAAAAATGGCCGCCATCATTTTTATCCTTAAAGAACCCTCCCTGGACCCATCTCTACTCTCAACTTACCGTCCCATCTCCAAACTCCCCTTCCTCTCCAAGGTCCTGGAACGAGTTGTTGCTTCCCAGCTTCACTCCTTCCTCTCCCGCCACGCCCTTCACGAACCTCTCCAATCGGGTTTCCGTGCCACCCACAGCACAGAAACAGCCCTGGTCAAAGTGACAAATGACATTCTGTCCATCTGCAACCAGGGCTCCCTCTGCCCTCATTCTCCTTGACCTCTCTGCTGCCTTCGACACTATCGACCACTCTATCCTCATCTACCGTCCCTCCTTTCACCTCAACCTTCACGGCTCTGTCCTTGATTGGTTCAAATCGTATCTCTCACACCACCTACACGTCACCTCCACAAACGGTTTCTCCTCTCGCCCCCACACCGTCTCGTGTGATGTTCCTCAGGGCTCTGTCCTTGGTCCCCTCCTCTTCAATATCTATATGCTCCCTCTTGGTGACATCATCCGCAGACAGAGGGTCAACTTCCATATGTATGCGGATGACACCCAACTCTACCTCTCTGTCTCCACCCTTGACTCCAGGATCACTGCTGTGCTGACAGAATGTCTGTCAGACATCAAGTCCTGGACGAGAGCTAATTTTCTTCAGTTGAACGTCAACAAGGCGGAGGTTATGATTGGCTCCCTTCAGCGCCTCCTCACCTCAGGCGCTGACAGCATCACCATTCATGGTTGCACACTCCACCTTGCTAAGCCAGTCCCGAACCTTGGGTTCTTGGTTGATCCTCAACTATCCTTTCTACCCCACATCTGTGCCATGACCCGCTCTGCTTTCCCCCAACTCCACAACGTCGCCCAGCTTCAACACTGTCTCACACTGCAGGCCACCGTAACCCTCATACATGCTTTAATTAATACATTGAGGCTCGACTTATGCAAACTCACTGCTTGTCGGCCTCTCTACTTCCTCCCTCCCAGATCATCCAGAACTCTGCAGCCGTGTCCTCTCCCGCATTAGGCTCCATGACCCTATCACTCTCATCCTCACCCGACTCCACTGGCTTCCCATCACACAGAGGAAACAGTTCAAGATCCTGGTTCTCACCTTCAAAGCCCTCCAAAGTCTTGCTCCCCCCAACCTCCGTGACCTCCTAACCCCCTACCATCCTGCTCATTCCCTGCGCTCCGCGGGCTCCGGCCTGCTTCATGTCCCCTGCCTCGTTCACCCCACTGTTGGCAGGCGGATCTTCTGCCACTCTGCCCCCATCCTCTGGAACTCCATCCCTCAGTCCCTCCGCCTCATCCCCTCCCTTGCCTCCTTCAAGACACTCCTCTTCAACCGTGCTTTCAATCTCCCTGCTTCTCCCCATGCCCTCCACCCGCCCCAATCCTGACCCCCAGCTCGGGTCCAAAACTCTGTCCGTCCAGCGCCTTGGGATGTCCTCCCGACGTGAAAGGCGCTATGCAAATGCAATTTTGTTGTTAGCTCTCATCCAGGACTTGATGCCTGATAGACATTTAGTCAAGACAGCAATGGTCCTGGAGTCAAGGGTGGAGGCAGAGAGGTAGAGTTCGGTGTGTGGAGTAAGGAAGACAATTCCCCTTGTTCTGGATCTGACATTTTCTATCTGTCATAACTGGATCTCCCTGTTCCACCTCCAGTGGGGTGAGCAGTCAAGTCAATCAGTCTCTTCCCTGCCATCCCTGCTAGTGCTTATTGCGTTTTGCCCACAAAATACATAGTCAATTCACTTTACAGTATATTCTGTGAATCGCTTTAAGATACCTCGACGGTATGATAAAGCTCTGTATAAAATGTAAGGATTATTATTATTGCGTTGACACTGGGGAATATCACAGGCCTCTGTTGGGGATTTTGCCTGACCTCTCCACAGTAGCTGTCTCGCTGAGATCTGAATCACCAGTGGAACCCGCTCGATCTCGTCACTGGACACAAGATGCCTCTTGAAATTTTTTTAATATATATTCAGTTATATTTCTGGTCATCCTCTTGTCCTGACAGTTGGTGCTTCAAAACAATCGAGTGATTCCAGAAAATTTTGGAGAGCTTCAATCCAGTTGACAAGTCCTCTTCCCTTGCCACCAACGCATGTCCTGTGGAGTCCTGTAGCTCAGTAGTCAGAGCACTTGCTTTGCAAGCGAGAGACCTGGATTGAATTCCCGGCAGGGTGAAACCTTGGGCAACTTTCCTTACTCCACACGCCTGATAATAATCCCTCAAGAAAAAAAACAATAATAAATTGGTCATTTCAATCCACAACTGTTTGTGGGACACTGCTGGGCGCAATTGGCTGCCGCATTTCGCCCACGAATATACAGTCAATTCAGTTTACAGTTTTTTCTGAAAGCGCTAATAGACTGTAAAGTGAATTGACTGTATATTTGGTGAACTGACTGTATATACGGTGCTTCAAAACAATCGAGTAATTCCAGCAAACTTTGGAGAGCTTCAATCCAGTTGGCATATCAAATGCAAGGATTATTATTATTATATGTGAAAGTTGACCCCATGTCTGTGGATGATGTCACCAAAAGGGAGCATATAGATATTGAACAGATTGCACAATGAATGGACATTTTAAAATAACTTTTCAAACCAATGTATAACACCATTTTTTTACTAAGGCAACACTTGTGAATAAAAGAGAAAAATCTGAGCCTGAAACACAGTAGAGGTAGTTCTTGGTCTTGAAAACTATTTTAACAACCAGCATTTCAGCAATTCAACAATAAACCTTTACAGTAAGTTGCACCACACAGTCTCCCCTCTTTAGAGAATCCACAATCGATTAGCTCTTTTGATCTTCTGCTTCGGTTTCAATAATTTTGCAACATTGAATAGTCCATGTTCTAATTGGCAAACTTCCTTATGCACCATGGTTGAATCCACACTCAGCAGGAAGGAAAACAATCTGAGCACAAATTGGTAGCTTTCAGGAAAATGAATTTCTTCGGACTTGGTTAACTGTTTGCAGCACCTGGTACATGGGGAAAAATGCAATCAGTTATTAGGCAGAACATTCTTTTAGCAAAGACCACGTGTATCATTTATACCTTCTGAGCACTAACTATTCCAAACAGGAGGTTCTTAATCTGAATTATATTTAATGCATGACAATTTAACACAAATTATGTTACCTTTCTTTAAAACATTCTTAGTGGATTTCAACACAAGTCAACACTTTTGAATCAATTATTAGGCAGAAATGATCAGTTATTATCAATTATTAGCCTGTGGAAAAGAGAAAATTCAGAAAATAAGTTTAGAATTAATTAGTTGGTAAAGCCACTACCCAGTGCAAGATTATTCTGTATCAACTGGAAACGACTCAGATTTGATTCTCAGTCTGTATTGTTAACTCGGGTTTTGGTGACAGAGGGGAAGGGAAATTGATGCTTTCCAATGACATGCACTGTCCGATTTCACATGGGCATAGGAGCATGAGTTAGCTTCTTCAGGGGCAGGAGGAATATTAAGTAAAACTAAGCAGAATAATGAATAACACAGAAAATAATTACAAAATTAAAAGCAGCCAATTTAGATATACTGTTGTATAGTGTTTGATAATTTGCTTCACCTCTCATTTGGGTTCAAAGCAACTTTTTGGGGGTTTGATGCCACACTAAGGAAAAAGTACTTAAAAACAAAACTAAAAGCTTTTTTTTTAAATCAATCATTCATAACTTTTGCCCAGGACTCGCACAGAAGAGCATAAAGCAGCAGAAAAGGTTAGTAATATGAAAGCATACAAAAGCACTTGGTAAGTATGTTTACTCTAAGATCTGCATGACTTATTGTTTCTTTCCTTTCACCAATGGCTGGAAATTTCTGGCCTACACAGAAGAATGTACCTGCCCAACAAAGCCGCTGTAATACAACACTGTTTACTTTTCATCCAGCATACATTCATGTCACAGTCAAGGAGTTCAGTTAACTGAAACTGCTTTCAAGCAAGGTATATACACCATACAATACAAAGACAGAAAGGACAGACACTGCTAACAGCAATGTGCAACACACAATATGATGCTGAGCATAAGGCAAATGGTCCTTTATTTTTTGACAACAAAATCCTCATTTAATGCGATTATTGAATTCTCCCAAACAATAAATCTTAATAAAGATTTTTTAAAATCTTTTCTGCTTTTGACTTGTACTTTTCAAATCATATTTGAAACCAACATTATGGGAACCAATATTTTTTTAAAAAAACTCAAAGACTAGCAGAATTAAAATGTATTTGATTTTCGAAATTGGATTCTAAAACTTTTCTCTTCATCAAGATAACAGCTATAAAATTCTGCACAACTTCACGGAAACTTACTATCAAACCTTCCCCTATCCCTCCGTAAAAAAACACATAAGTTCCCATCTGTATGTTCCTATCTGTTTAATTGGGTTGAGAGAACTTTTTCTTGAAATAAAACCAAATACGTACTTTGCTTTGCAAATTTTCTGGTTGCTAAACCAATAGTGTTTATTTATGGTATGAATCAGTTTACTTTCCGTTGACTTATACTCTTCCAGACTGTCTCCATGAAAGCAAGGTTTCTCTGAGTTTCCATCACTCCAGCTAAATGTGAAACTGGAAGGTCTTCTCATTTCTGCCCTTTGATGGGATCCGGCGAGTCGACTGAATTGCTTTTTAAGACTGTGGATCACACCTTAAATTAGAAAAAAAGTCAAATAAATGGAGGAAATGGAACTCCCAAATTTAATTTTAAATGTCATCTGTCAGAAGGTACCTTGCATTCAAATATTTAATGCTGAATTTGTATGTGCATCACAGAGACTGATGTCAAGTCAAATGAAAACAGATTCCAAATTCAGGGACCCAGTTTCGATATCAAAAGGATCCAGATCAGGTAGCTATAAACCAAAGAGATTCGGATGAAGGGCCTTTGGATCACTTGATCTCATCTTTCCTGAATACCAGCCCCACTGCCTTCCCGCTATAGCACTAAGCTATTTCTTAAATGCAGAGTACATTTTCTCTATTCAATAAATTTTCGTATCAAACTGATAGGAACATCCCTAACCATTGATGTGCATCTCCCACATTAGACATTACTGTAAACTGAGAATGATTGCCAATTTGTGGAGAACAGTGAATGTTCATCATCTCTTATCCATAAACACAAGATAAAGTCAATGGTATTTTTGAATAACATCCCAGCAAATAAGTTTTCTTGCAAGAAGGATTCATCAGTGACCTTTTGTGAGATGCATTAGAGATCAAATAATCACATTAACTTGTTTTTTTGTCAATTTACTGTGTCTTGTGAAAACATCCTCATTTCCTACCCCATTCATTTATTTGTCCAGCTAACCATAGATGCTGCTCAAAACAATCACAGTATTTAGATGTGCAACAATTCAGAGTCAGCACAAATCATCAACCTGTCTAACTGAATCCAGCTTCCAGAGAACTGTGAGAGTCACAATTATTATGTTTGTTATTTACAACAGTACAAAGTCCTGGATGTATTAATGGTGAGCCCAATGGCCAATTAGACATTCAAGCCAACTAAGGAAAATGAATCTAATAACTAAAACACCTATTTTTACACCAAAGGATTCATTTTGATCTGACTTAATCCTTAGCCTTTATCCTAGACAATCTTTACAAGTTATCCCAGACACCAAGTCAATTAATGCTCCATCCACTTGTAAATGAATTATACCAGAATTATACAGTATGTATGTATGTGTGTGTGTGCGTGCGTGCATGTATTTATTTCAATTCCTGTCAGTTTTAACTGGTTTGTTAATGTTTTCTTAAATGTTTTCATGAGGTTTTTTTTCTACATTAACTTGGTGTACAGTCAAGTTCATGCATACTGGCTATAATTTAGAAATATCTGAATGCGTTGAAAGATACAAGGTGGAATACCTATTTTACTTTAGGTTCCAGAAAAACATTTATTTTTACGAGCAATATACACACACATATCAAATACTTACGTTTCCTTTTGAAGATGACTAATTTGGCATTTAAAGAATAGAAAATTGCCTTTTCGCTTTTCCAAGGGCGCCTGTTAAAAAAAAGTATTGCTAAAGATAACCTGCATTTTTATAGTGCTGATCACATTAACGCTTTTGAAATTAGTTCACAATTACCATTAGGTATACAATGCTTTGTGGGTTAAGGCGGTAAGTACATCTTTTAATAATGGGAACTTTACCTGGCTGTTTCCTCTTGAGCTTCGTCCTCCCTTTCATCCAAACACTCTCTCATTACTTGATACCATTTGCTGAACTGAAAAACCTTAACTTTTGATTAAAAAAAATCATAAAATTTCTTCCATGAATCTTTAAATCACTGCTTAGGTTCATAAGGTGCTTACATGCTTAAAGAAGGATGCAATTATAGGGTCCAATTAGTCTGCAAACTATATCCAACAGGCAGACATGCACCCCAGTACATGGCACAGTGAAGCACATCATCCGCTTAAATGACTGCCTGGGCTAATGGAACATAACTCATTAAATGTCACAGGGTGATGGCAGTCACTATAATTTTCTTCAATTCTCTACTGAAAGCAATTTTCATCTTAATGAGATAAGAGTTCCACAGGCACCCACTGACCTGCCTCTCATATTCACTCAAATGGTCATTACTCATTCACGACTCTTGCCACCACTTCTAACTCCTCGATCAGAAAATAAAGAGTTAGATTGTCAAATTAGTAATTTTTGCATTCCTGATTTGACGGATGTTTTCATTTACAAAACAATGTTTATGAAGTTCCTTACTTTGCCTTTAAAATGCAAGTGGCATTGTGAGACTGAAATATTAATTGGAGTATAATATAGATTCATATTTAATATAGCCTGAGTGCAACCAAAGGAGATTGTATCAGCAGGCAGGGTGAGTCACATCTGGTTATATGTAAGATTGAAATCATTTACAAATAACTGCAAATAAGACCCCCTTCTAAACTGTCAATACAAAATAGAAAATCAATTATTAAATCAGTAAAACCTATGGAAGCCCCTCTTCAAGGAATGTGGATTCACAAATTCTACAAGAACAAACCAGAATTAATGACCAATAACAATTTACATTTAATTCATTACCTTCAGGATTTGCTTTGCTTATTTTCTTAGCTTCCTTAGACGCAATCCTGTTGAACAATAAAAAAATTATCAAACAGATTCTAACATCCGAGAGCTGGATTGGAAAACTCAATTAATTTAATACTTTCTAACAAATGCACACATTCAGTGATCTCACCATTCAATCTTGTCATTGAGGCCAAACAGCAATTTCAGAGCAACAATGATTACAGCCACAGCTTGAACTTCATAGTTGATGGCTGTGGTTCCTCCGATCAACGGTTGGAAGGTTAAAAACGTTGTCTCTCCAATGCCTATTTGCTTCACCAATTCTCGGGTCCAAAAATGCATTTCCTCTGTTTTAGCAGCAAAGAAAAATTTAAATGATGCAGGATTTTTTTAAAAAAGGGCATTCTCTTCATGATAAATTGTCTTAACATTTTATTTTTGTTTGTGTTGGTAAGGCAGAGCTCTGCATTATTTTCAGCATGGTGTTGTTATGTCAATGTGAAACTGGAATTGCTTTTGTGGATAATTTATAATTATTCCATCATTATGGTTAGCCAAATAAGCATCGTGGGCCCTAATGTGTATGTTTCTGAACTATTATTTTCAACGTTAAACCTTTAAAGAAAAAAATGCACCCAAAATGAGATACAGTTTATAACTATTGCTAGTAGATCAAATTCAAACTCCATTGGCTCCAACACAATTCACATTTATATAGCGCCTATCACATCAGCAGACACCTTAAAACACGTTACACAGCTGACTTGGGGAGGGGGGAAGGGAAGTCAAAGAAAAGGGTATTCAAGGTCGGGTGGGAGAAGGTAAGGCAACAGTAGCAACTACTTGCATTTATATAGCACCCTTTAAGAGGGGCAGTGTCTCGGAGCACTTAAAAGTCATGGAGTTCCAGAGTGGGACACAGGGACTGAAGGATCACTCGCTGATGGTGGGGCAGAGAGGGGCGGGGTACTGAAATGTTTGTTGAGTAGTTGGAGCAGCCAAGCCAGTGTCAAAGAGGTATTTGAGCGTGAGGATGAGAATCTTGAATTTGATATGCTGGTGCATGTGTAGCCGGTGGCTTCGAGCGAACATGGGGCTGTTGGCTGGTGGAGTTTAGTGCAGGAAACAGCGTAAGATGGATGATCTGCAGCTTGTGTGGGGAGAGGCTGCGGAGTCCAGTGAACAGGGTATTCAATTAATGGAACCTGGTGTGATGGAGTGGATGAGGATCTGAGCGCTAGGGAAGAGATTTAGTGGCAGAGGCAGGTGATGTTGCAGAAGTGAGGGAAAGCAGAGCTAGTGAAGGCTAAAATGCAGGGTTTGAAAGATCGTTGGAGGTTGAACACAACATTGAGGAGGCACACTGGCTCTGTGAGGTGAAGTAAGAACCTATTCAGATCAATGTGGTCAGTGCTCTAAGGTATTAATCCACAGTTGACCAACAAGCCACCACTCTTCCCCACTTCAGTGAAAAGATTTCCTTCAGAACAACCTCCTCATATCATTATGAAGGATCTGTAAGTGTTAGTGTCAATGTTGACACTGCTAATAAAATCAATAAACAAGAGTTCTACTTTTTTAAACAGTTAAAACTGAGAATTTGCTTAGTACTGAAGTAGGCAAAACCTGGTTCTGTTAAAACCTGGACTGCCCAGTGCATTGGGACATCCTCCTTATATAACAGCAACAAACAACAAATTGCATTTATATAGTGTTTTTCACATCAGGAGGATGTCCCAAGGCACTGAACCGTTGAGGGTTTGCACCCTTATTAAATTATTTATAATTTATAAGAAAAATATGAAATTATTATTAAATTTATGATTTGTATAATAAATGCTAATTTGGTGTTGTTTGCATCTGGCAGTAACATTGCTGCAAGATACCAGTGTATCCCCTAATGTCAGGAAAATTTTCAAAAGGGTTTATTGTCCTCCAAAGAACAATTGAACACAGATGCAATACGATTTCATAAACTGAAAAGGCTCTTGTTTCAAGGTCTTGTTTTCACAAAATAATGTCAAAATAATCAGTGTATTCTAGGGTGTAACATACAACTATTACCACTCTTATATGAATGAAATCACATGTGCCTATATTTATGCACAAATAATATCAGATAATAGCAAAGGATAGTGTTTTCTGAAACAAACAATTCATGTACAATATTGGCAGGAGGTACACTTAGGGAGAAGCAATCAGGCATGAATAGTACTGTTACAGATTCATGCCTGGATACTCACACCATTGCTTACAGTTGCTTATTGTTTCAAGTTTACAGTTGATAAAAAGACAACTTTATTACTTTCATTAGGACTCAGCACCCATAAAACACAATTACAACAAGATTTCATTTATAGAGCGCCTTTCACGTCGGGAGGACGTCCCAAGGCGCTGTACAGTTGGGTCAGGACCCGAGCAAGGAGGGAAATGGTCAGGGTGAGGGGAGGGAAGGGAGGGGGTAGAGAGTCGAGAGGGGAGCTGAAGGCACGGTCAAAGAGAAAGGTCTTGAGACCGGCCTTGAAGGAGGAAAGGGAGGAGGCGGCGAAGGCACTGGGGGATAGAGTTCCAGAGCCTCGGGGCTGAGAGGCTGAAGGCCCGGCCACCGATGGTAGGGCGGTTGGGGCGGGGGATGTGGAGCAGACCGGAGCCAGAGGAACGGAGGGTACGGGCAGGTAAGTAGGGGGATAGTAGGTCGGAGAGGTAGGAGGGAGCAAGGCCGTGAATGGCCTTGTAGGTGAGGATGAGGATCTTGAATTCGATCCTCTGGGGGATGGGGAGCCAGTGGAGGCGAGCGAGGGTGGGAGTGATGTGGTCCGAAGCCTGGTGCGGGACAGTACACGAGCTGCAGAGTTCTGAATGACCTGCAGCTTGTGGAGGGAGGTGCCGGGAAGGCCGGCGAGGAGAGAGTTCCCATAGTCCAGCCTTGAGGTGATAAAGGCGTGGACCAGGGTTTCAGCAGCGTGAGGGGTGAGGTAGTGCCGTAGTCTGGCGATGTTCCGGAGGTGATGGAAGGCGGTGCCAGTTGTGGCGCGGATATGAGGGAGAAAGGACAGCTCAGGGTCGAACAGAACACCGAGGTTCCTGACTGGCTTTGAGAGGTGGAGAGTGCAGCCTTGGATGCTGATGGTGTCAGCGCCTGAGGTGCGGAGGCGCTGACGTGAGCCAATCAGGAGGGCCTCAGTTTTGCGCACGTTGAGCTGAAGAAAGTTGTCTCTCGTCCAGGACTCGATGTCGGACAGGCAGGCTGTCAGGACATCGGTGGTCGTGGAGTTGAGGGTAGAGGAGGAAAGGTAGAGTTGGGTGTCATCCGCATACATGTGGAAGTTAACCCCATGTCTGCGGATGATGTCACCGAGGGGGAGCATATAAAGGGTGAAGAGGAGGGGACCGAGGACAGAGCCCTGAGGGACGCCACACGAGACAGTGCGGGGGCTGGAGGAAAAGCCGTTTGTGGAAACAAAATGAAGACGGTGGGAGAGGTACGACCTAAACCACTCAAGGACAGGGCCTTGAAGGTTGAGGTGTGAGGACAAGCGGTGGAGGAGGATAGAGTGGTCGACTGTATCGAATGCGGCCAATAGGTCGAGGAGGACGAGGAGGCAGAGGGAGCCCTGGTCGCAGATGGTCAAGATGTCATTGGTGACCTTGACCAGGGCGCTTTCTGTGCTATGGGCAGCACGGAAATCCGACTGAAGGGGTTCAAATAATAAATAGGTGGAGGAAAGAGCGCAGCTGGGATGCAACGACTCTTTCAAGGACCTTGGACAGGAAGGGGAGGTTGGAGATGGGCCGGTAGCTTGATAGCTGCGACGCATCAAGGGAGGGAATTATGTTCAACACTCTCTTCGAGACACTCCCTTCGGCTGCTACTTTGGCTGGAATAAGCAATATAGCTCTTTAATGTTCTGTGGGACTCTCCTCCTCTAACATTTAGTTGAATTAATTTACAAGCAAATAAAAAATAGCTTTTACTGTAAAATGGTAATACGATTGCCCAATAACATTGTATTAAAAACTAGTCATAGAAGAAAATGTTCTCTCCATCCACCTTTCATTTTTAATATCTTCTACAAACAGAACTTTAAAAGAATATTTCTAAACAATAATATTTCTGAAAGAACTCCTTTAAATTGCATTGCTGGTTCAGTTGGGAGCACTCTTGCCTCTGAGCCAGAAAGCTGGGGTTTCAAGCCTCATTTTGAGAATCTGAACTCACAGTCCAGGTTGACACTCCACTGTAGCGCTGCATTGTTGGAGGTATTGTCCTTCAGATGAGAACATAAACCAAGGTCCCATCTGTCTGTTCAGGGGACTTTAATGATCCTGTGGTACTTTTCAAAAATGGAAGAGAGTTTCTCCCATTATCCTGGCAATAATCCCCCAGATATAATTATTCATTCACTTCATGATTATTTGAGGGACAATGCTGTAAGCAAATTGTGTACCGTGTTCACCTACAAAATAGTTACTACAATTTACAGTAAATTCTGCGAAGTCCTTTGAGATGTTTCAAAGACATGATGTGCCATATCAAATTCAAGGATTATTATTATTATCATTGATTTATTAAAATGCGTTTTGTCTTATTGAAGATGCCACTGTTTTACAGAAATCAGTTTACGCTGCAGGTGGAACTCAGTGTATCAGTTTGTGTACATCAGGGTGAGTTCAGAGCTGTGCAAATTTGTTCAGTTATATGTGTACTCAAGGAAATTTAGCCAGCGGATGCTAGTTCACAGTCTCAACAGCTCTATTTGTGTATCAATATATGAACTGGGTAGAACAATCTGTTTGGATCTCTGCTATAAACCTCTGGGATGAACACACTAAATTAGCACCCTGGCTTCGTCCATTCATTGTTATGTGCCATAATCATCCGAAGTACATGGAAAATAAGTGACAACTCAAGTATAATTAGTGGTAAATCATGACTAAAAGATGAAGACATTCAATTCAAAATGGTTGGGACTGGATGAATCATCCAGAATTATAGTAAGAGTTAAAACTGGAGGTGAGTCCTGTTAGGTTCTTATACAAGTTAGCTGTATGGATTGGAGTGGATGTAAGGTCATGAGTAGAAGAGTCATTGAGTCAAATCCTCCCAAGAGTAAAACTATGGTGACCTGGTATAGTAAAAGACTTTGGTGCACTTCACATAATGCTTAAAGCTTACCAAGTCAATGGTGCATTTGAAGAGTAATAAACAGTTACAGTACAAGACAGATATTCTCATAAAATACAGAACAAATTAAGTGGCAACAAGCTGTAAAACCACTAAAAATGAATTGAACAAGTTTGTGTTTAAAACAAAGTTTAAAAAAGGAAAGCATAAAACATTAAAAATGCCACAGGAATACCACAGCACATCCCGTGCCTGTTTGGTAAGAACATACTTATTTATATATTAATAATAATAATAATCCTTGCATTTGATATAGCACCTTATCACTTCGTTGAGATATCTCAAAGCTCTTCCCAGAATATATTGAAAAATGAATGGACTGTGTATTTTGTGGGCAAAACGTGGCAGCCAATTGCGCAAAGCAGTGTCCCACAAACATTCGTAGACTGAGTGAATGAGTGGCTAAATTAAAAATCACAGGCAATAAAATCAAATTTAGTAATTAAGATTATAAGGTCAAACTGGCTGTTATAATCAGATCCGAAACATTGACTGTCCAGCCTTGGAACGTCCTCCCAACGTGAAAGGCGCTATACAAATGTAATTTTGTTCTTCTTGTTAAGTAAATAATAAAATCAAATACAACTCCAACAATTCAACATATAGACCACAGCTCCCTCCACCCAACACACACACACACACATTTATATTTAATTTACTTTTGGTAGCAACCCTGAGTGCTGCCTATGTAGAAACAAACTTCCAGCAAGAACAGGAAGGGATCATGTGGATAATACCCACAATGTTACGGCTTCATTATATCAAACAACAGTCTAATGATTTTTTTCCTGGCTATTCCAGTACTTGTGTATTTCGTACGTGTAAGTCATACAGAATCCAACTTAGACATAATTTTACATAAGTCATATATAATATTTTGAATAAGTCATATTAAATGTATGGTCCTGACTGGTACGATTTATGTGAGGTTTACTGCACACCATTAATCTCTGTGGGCCATATTTGAATATAGTACTGGATCATAAGGAGGAATTATTCTAAATTTCATTATACTGTTGTTACAAAACACTAATTTTAAATCAGATCCCATACTATCAATGTACATTTGAAATTGTTACAAAGCTAACTTTTCGCTCTGAATCAGACACTATTTTTGGACTTCAACTTGATATAATCTACCTGGTAGGTTAGCTTCCATCAAATACTTGATGACCAAAATATCTGGATGCAGGAAACACTTTTCAGATATTGCAGGAAACTCACGCAGGTTCAGAAACACAGCAAGAGAATGCATATTCTTTTGGATTTCATCATAGGATGGAATTGCCTGCAACAGGAGAAATTCACACCAAATTACCAATTCACTGTAAAACATTATTAATGGTCGTAGGAATGACATTAAAGTGACTACATCACAATGTGAATACCATTTATTTAATCAAACAAAAGGTAGAGCTTAGATAGGATGTAACAACATAATGAATAACGTGGATGACATTCCCAAGGTCATGTTATGACTGTACCCAGGAAAGTCTGGAATGGTATGAAAGATCTACTTTTTGTAAATGTGGCATAAAAGATTTAGGAATTCATACAACATCAGGCAACAAAACATTTTGGTTATTAAAACACCACGTGTCTTGTAGGAGGCATTTAAAATCAAGCAACAAGGTGCAACGGAATCCTAAGTACACATTTAATCCAGGTCTGTGGCCGGTGTCTAACGTATACAGAACCCTACACTGCTGACTTGCTTGGCTCAAGAACAAGACTATTGAAACTGCCACAAAGGGTTGGCTCAAATCCAACATTCTGTTTCCAAGCACGTCACCTTGGAGCCAGCTCAACGGCAAGTAAATGTCTCTCCCAAGCAGTAGTTACTAGTTGGTCATATGACAGCAGACAGGTTTGAGCCCTCATAAGAACATAAGAAACTGGAGCAGGAGTAGGCCATTCGGCCCTCGAGCCATTTAATAAGATCATGGCTGATCTTCTAACCTAATTCCATTTACCCGCCCTATCCCCATATCCCTTAATCCCTTTAATTTTTAAAAATCGATCGATCTCAGTCTTGAATATGAACAGGCAGTTGCAGCAGGCATCAGGCATCAGGAACTCCCTTCAAGCTTTCTGACAACCACCACAGGTCAGCAGGAAATGCTTGGAGGCATTGCCAAAATCTTGCTACCCACAGTTGGACACACGTCCTCATCCACTGAGCAATGATTCCACCAGCTGAAGGTGTAGAACTGCAGCAACAGTTGCTTAGCTTTCTGCATAACTAATCAAGGTGGATTCCGAGCTTGAATACATGAGAGTGTGTTCACAAACCCAGATTCCAGGTAACGGCTTCCAACAGCTGTCATTCCAAGCTTCAGAGTTTCCTTGCCAGCTATTTGATGGACATCTGCCTTCAATGTAGTGGGATGAATTTTACAAGACAGTTAGAGGACTAAGTCTAATGCTTACTCAACACCAGCTAACTCAATACCAACTGCTTAATTCAGGTCCTCATGTGAGGGACTTTGACATATGGATAAGCCCGTGTGAAGCCAACTCTGTTTACTGGATGCTCAGATCAGCAGTGAGTGTAAGCTGGACCCCATGTTCCCTACAACTACTTCCTCTTTTCACTACAATCCACCTCACTGCTTGGCCTAGGACTTCACAGTTGAGCCAGAGAAAACCTCTCCATTGCCCACCCAGGAGCACAGAACTATGAAGGGAGACCCATTTGGACACACGTTTTATACACAAGCTTAACCTCCATTGGAACCTTGCAGTAACTGAAGAGATGAGAACAACCAGAGTGCCCTCTGCCCCTTCTCAGAATGGTCCTGAAAAGTAGGGTCCACACAACAGCTGGTGACCAAACACATTCCCCAGATATCGATATGGAGTTCCATAGCGCAGTGATGAATGCGCTCACCTCGCAAGTGAGAGGATCTGGGTTCGATTCCCAGGCAGGACAATGTGTTGGGCAATTTTCCTTACTCCGCCGCATTTTGCCCACAAAACATAGTCAATTCACTTTACAGTACATTCGGTGAAGCACTTTGAGACGTCTCAAAGACATAATAAGGAGCTATATCAAATGCAAGGATTATTATATTATATTATTATGGAGAGAGGAAAGTGAGTTAACGTTTCAGGTTAATGACCTTTTGCCAGAACTTCTCATCGACCTGAAACATTAACGCACTTACCTCTCTCCACAGGTGCTGCCTGACCTGCTGAGAGTTCCCAGCGACTTCTGTTTTTATTTCTCACCACCAATATTCAGGGGTGGCTTGAAGCCCAGGATTGACTGCAGCATCTGAAAATGTGGCAGCATCAGGAACTTGAGGTCAGTATTTAGTCTGTAATTTGTTCCCACGCTTGGATCCGCAAGTTGAGTGCAGATACAGCTGCAGATACCAAGTTGAGTGTAGTATTAGCAGTTAGCACAGAACTCTGCCCTCGGGAAATCTTGTCTCATCACATCCTTACTCTTGCACCAGTTTTGAAAGACAGTTTGAAGTAGTGTTTTGTCTCGGATGTAATACTTATCTCATCTGGAAGATGGCGTTTCAGCAGCAGCAGGACTGAAGAAGCATGAACAAGCTTCATTTACTGATATTTTCTCCCATCCCCCACTTCATAGTTTGTTAAGCCTGAATTCCTAGGCCCTAGTCTTTCTTTCAGCCTTGTTTTTCTGTCCACAAGCACTGCTGCCCGTCCTTAAATTAGGATAAAACGCTCTTAAAGCCAATTTAAAAAAAATATTTTTATCTGAAAAAATTACGTCACGTAATCGAGGTCAGAAAAAGCTGTCTTAGTGGTAGTACCTCATGCAGCCCCTACCCCCCTGCCCCCAACCCCAGAGAATAAGGATGTTAGAGGGCAGTTTAAAGCTGAGAGCAGGAAACTATATATAAAAAAAGGCAGAGGGAGACACGATTCTGGAAATAATTCCATTTTCAACTTCACCAGGAATTCAAATTAAATAGTTTTGTTTTATTCCAATTCCTTCTTCTCACGGGTAGTGGAGCACTTCAGTTACGACTGTGATGTCAGCAGCAGGATGTCAACAGGATAGGAAGAATGGATTGCTTTCAGCACAAAAAACACAAAATCACTTTAACGTAATAATATTGATTGTCTACAGCACTTACAATTTAATTCTTTTTTGAAAAAAGTGGCACTGATTGAAAAAAGTGCTTTAATGCACAGAAAGATAAAAATAGAGCACTCACTCTATCTTGCACACCCTATAATCCAAACCAAGACTGGATTCAGTCTGTTTTATCTCGCTCTTTCATTACTAGTGTTGTTAAATTTGGAGACTGTTGAATTGTACCAGTTATAGCTAGCTGCCTTTGAGTGCAGTGCCTTGATATTCATCAATGTACAAGAATAGAATTTCTTAATGAAGAGAAGAATAAAATGGGGTAAAGTTGCTGCCCAAGAAGGAAATTGAAGACATAGCCTCATTTGGCCACTATTTTCACTTTAACTCATTTTATTTGTTACATTTTATTTTAATTTCACACTCCCCAACCCTGACCCCCAGCTCGGGTCCGAAACTCTGTCTGTCCAGCGCCTTGGGACGTCCGCCCGACGTGAAAGGCACTTTACAAATGTAATTTTGTTGTTGTTAACAGAATGGATTTTTTATTTTAAAAAATTGGCCTGGAGCTCCTTTTGGAAGAGCAAACACACAATGTATTAGGTTCATTTGAAACCTGATATATCTGTGGTAGCAGTGTGCAGTGTTGTAATGAGTGCTGTACTCATATTCAAAGATATGTTTCAAATACTAAAATAGGCCAAACCTATAAACAAGACACGATTTACAAACTTCTCCATTTCAAAATTATAGAGAAGTGGCATATTCAGTGAGAATTTTGAATTATTTAATCTGTCAGTTTCATGTTGCTACACTACAATTCAATTTATATTTATGGAACACCTTTTACATGGGGAGCGCATCTCAAAGCACTTAACCCCATTGGCTGGACACCCAAGTTGGAGGTGGAAGTAGAAGGGGTGGGTGGGAAGGGGAAATATGATTGAAAATAATAATAATCCTTGCATTTGATATAGCGCCTATCACGTCTTCGAGATGTCTCAAAGCGCTTCACAGAGTATACTGTAAAGTGAATTCACTGGATATTTTGTGGGAGAAATGCGGCAGCTAATTGCGCACAGTAGTGTCCCACAAGCAGTTGTGGATTGAGTGAACAAATTATTATAACATTTTTGTGAAGGGATTATTATCCCCGGAAAAGTGATCCACCAATTGACTGACAACCGGGTACCTACTTACTGCTAGGTAAACAGAAGCGTGTGGAGTAAGGAAACTTGCCCAATGTTTCGCCCTGCCGGAAATCAAACCCAGGTCCCCTCACTTGCGAGGCAAGTGCTCTAACCTCTAAGCTAATCAAAGAGACAGGTCTTACACAATCCAATACAAATTTACCACAACGACAACAAACTGCATTTATATAGCGACTTTCACCTTGGGAGGACGTCCCAACGTGCTGAGTTTACATTTGTCTAGCATCTTTTACATCAGGAGGATGTCCCAAGGGTCTTAAAGATGTCTTGAGAAAGACCTTGAACGAGGTGAGGGAGGGAACTCAGGATTGGCGTTCCAGAGAGCTGAAAGCCTGCCTGCTGATGGTGGGACAGATAGGGCAGGGGACGCAAAGCAGGCTGGTGTTCGCTGAGCAAAGGGAGTGGCTGGGCCATAGGGTTCAAGGAAGTCACAGAAGTTGGGTGGTTCGAGATCATAGAGGTATTTGAAGTTGAAGCAAAGTTAATTAAAAACTTATAAAGGAAACATTTGCTTGTCATTTCAGTTTTGAAAAGTGTAAAAAGATAATTTATATATCCCTTCAAGCTTTAATTTTTCTTGCATGTAAATCCCAGCAGAACTGCATCCTTCCTCACCCTGACACAAACGTAACAATCCGAAGTGACTTGCAGTTGCCAAGCTCTGAATGGGTGAACAGCCTGCGAAGGCCCACTCGTGGCTTCCAGTAATGGCATAACAGGAGGACGAGTTTCCGCAGTGTTTTTCAAAACGGCTGTGAAGAGTGTAATCCTAACAACTGTCGTGAGAGAAGGCAGTAATTATTTCGGGCCTGTGAAGAACATTACTCCTGTTTTTGAATCTGTATCAACAGTGCAGCTTTAAAGTAATTCTTTCATTTGATACAGTGAGTTATCATATCGTCAAGATGCCTCAAAGCGCTTCAATTTGTCCAGGGAAAAGGAGCACTGCTCACTGGCCAAGAATTCCTAATATATATATATAATATAATATATATATATATACACACACACACGAAGTTAAAAAGAAGCAAATCGAAAGAGGGACCCCAACAAAGAGACCTGGAACTCCTGTTTATAATTAGAGACAGTGTCACTCTGCCCTCCACAGCCGGTAACGTAACAACTATACTGATTCACCGCATTACAAAATCCTAAATATATTCACTCGGAATACGGATTAGTTTTGTTTTTGTCCTGATATATTCTCTGTCCTGCTGACATCATGAACAGTTTAACGTTATCTCTGAAGTACACTGCTTCAAAATTGGTATTTAAGAGATTACGGTAGAAATTTGTTATTACGAAGATTTGCTAACAGAATGTGAGCCCCATTCGTTGCACAATCATAAAACCAGCAGACTCCCAGGCTACAAAATGGACAATTTACAGGTCACCAGTTCCCGCAGGCTGCAGGAAGTGAGATTATTAGCAACCCAATAACCCAAAATCAACCTTTTTTCAGCATAACAGCCACCTTAACATAAGACATAAGAAATGCTAACCAAAAAAAGACCAAGGTCCATCTAGTTCACCTTCCACCTTCCTAGCGGTCGCAAGTACATATTGACCAACTACCTACACAACAGCAACAACTTGCATTTATATAGCGCCCTTCACACCAGACGCCATCTCGGAGCGCTTGTAGGGAAGTTTGCTGACTAACTATTCACATGTGGAGATGCTGACTGACTATTGCGGACTGCTTGCAAGGTTTGTGGTGATTTTGTGAATCCCAATTGACATCTTGTATTACAGCTCCGCTGTGTTTAGGTTACAACCTGGGTTTATGAGGAGAGAAGGAAAGAGTTCTTATAATAATAATAATCCTTTTTGATATAACGCCTTATCACGTTGTTGAGATGACTCAAAGCGCTTCACAGAATATTCTGTAAAATGAATTGTCTGTATATTTTGTGGGCGAAACAACTGCAAATTCCACACAGCAGTGTCTCACAAAGAGTTGTGGGTTGAGTGACCAATTATTATTATTATTAGTTGAAGGGAGTATTACCCCCAGAAAGGGATCCAATTGACTAACAACCAGGTTCCTACTTACTGCTAGTTAAACAGAGGCGTGTGGTGTAAAGAAACTTGCCTAAGGTATCACCCTGCCCAGGAATCGAATCCAGGTCCTCTCGCTTGTGAGGCAAGAACGCTAGCCACTGTGGTAGTAAGTCACAATGCTGTAGATTTAAACCCCACTTCGGGGCTTTAAACCGACAAATTACTCAAGAGGGGAGGAAGGGAAAGATTATGAAAAGTCGTAATGTGGCCACTAATTTTTTTTAATGGCCGCACAATGATACCACGAAAAAATGTGTTTGAAAACCACTGACCACTGACCTGGACTTTAAACTCAAGTCCTGTGGACTTTAAATTCACTGCTAGAGACAGATGCGATAGGGGCTAGAAACTAAATCAAACGACTGCTCACACTAGATGGAACCAATCTTCTGCTTAATAATTACAAAATATATTAAAAGAAAAAAGGAACAATAGAAACAAACTCTGTTTTCTCCTTGCATTAAAACTTTATTATGACTTGCTTGCAAGTATTTAAAAAGGACTGAAAGTACTTGTGCAATATGTTTGCACAATAGTTTGCTTGTTTTAAAGAATTTTATTTTGAAATGCAAAGGATTAATCCAAATGAATCAGTCCTTACCTGCACTTGAAAGATGTGGGTATCATTTCCGTAGAGGACCATCTCTGCAGGAAAATGCTGGAACGTGTTCAAGTACGGCACATGTTCCATCTCAGCAAATCTGTTGGAAGCAGAACATCATTTTATGAACAATTGAATACTTGCATTAAATTATATGAGGTATTTTCATGGATAAAGTTCTATTTCCTCAACGAGCATTCCAATAAAGCCAGGATTGTGGAGCAATGGCTGAAATCTCACTTTGCTGTGAAAATACATGACTTTGGAGAGAACCTAAAATGTTTTAAGGAAAATTCCTGGAAAAGCATCCAAGTCTTGACAGCAGCAGGTTCGTATGTAAATTGCTTAAGTTGATTCAATTCCATTCATAACTACAACATACAATTTTTTTCCTGTGTAGTGGGATGTGGGCTACCATTAAACTCTGACTGTGTTCACTTTGAATGTCGTTGAACGGTCAAAAATTATGCTGCATTGTAACAGCGTGCTGGGCACTGAGAGTCCAGCACTTTTTGAGTCGCTCACATAATTATTGATGATTACACTCAATTAAATACGTACAATTATTACGCTCATACAATTGATTGATTTACCAATGTAAATGTACTTGAACTGATAAGTTAATTAAGGTAATACTAAAATAATAAAAACAATCATTGTATTTCATATAGCAACTTATATTATCGAAATGTCTCAAAGCGATTCGCAGGATTTTACTGCAAAGTATTTTTTTTGTATTTGTTCTGTGTAATTTGTAGGCGAACGGAGATAATATTAACAGATAAAAACGTGTTAATTGTCAGTAATTAGGTAAAGCACAAGTGTTGCTATAACAAGAGTTAAAAAAAATAGAAAGAGAAAGAATGGGGTAGGTTTTTTTTGGATCAGGCTGGTGTCTGACTTTAGGAAAGAGAGCATGTGGAATAAAAAAGGATTCATATTTTGTGTTTTTTCATCACCACAACTGAAAACTCGCAAAACTGGTCATCCCAGGGAAACCAGAATTCCACAAGTTTCCAAAAAGCTGAAGTGTCTTCATGTCTGTTGCAATTAATTCATCCTTATAAAACAGGATCTTAACTCAAAAGCACATCATGAGCTCCAGTACCAACAAATTATACGAAAGAGGATGAAAGTGAGTCCATTAAGATACCGCCTTACCGTAGTAGGTCTACCAGAGTAATTGACTCTCGAAGCCACAGCAATGCCAAGTAACAAAATGCCAGCGTCATAGGCATAGACATCAGTAATTTCTCACGTTGTGCACCAGATCGATATGTAGAGCCATCAACGGATCCTGATTGTATAGATGCTACTTCATCTTCGAACAAAGAAATACATCACAACATTGAAGTAGTATTTTGAGGGCTTGAATTCCCTCCATTTTTTCCCTACAATTAGTTGCATGAGTATCTCAAAACTATTTTTCATGCAATGCTTCTCCATACCCTGCCACTTCTCAGTAAATTAATTAATAATTGATGTTTGCCTTATCACTTGCTCAAAGTGCATCACAGAGCTTTTCTGTAAAGCATAGTGTCTGTGTATTTGCAGACGAATGTGTCAACCAATTCCCACCAAGCAATCTCCCACACATAGCCAAGAAGTGAATGATCCTTTGTTTTTGTCTGGAGGATTGCTGGCCTGGACACCCAGAGAAACTGTACTCTCTTTCCCACTTGTGCCAAGCAGATTTTTGAAGTCCACTTGAACATATCCATATAGTCTGCCCAGATTTACATTCACAGCACATACCCCATAGTAAATTGCTGTTTCCCAAGGTTTGTAGCATTGTTGCTACAAACACTGATAATATAATAAAAATCTTGATTTGATATAGTGTCTTATCATGTCATGAAAGTCGCAAATCCTTCGCAGGATTTTACTGAAGAGTGCAATAACTGTATTCATAGAATCTTACAGCACAGAAGGAGGCCATTCGGCCCATCACATCTGTGCCAGCTCTTTGAAAGAGCTATCCAACTAGTCCCATTCACTCACTCTTAACACCATAGCCCTGTAATGTTTTTCTTTTCAAGTACATATCCAACAATTATCGGATAGATTGAAATAATTATTGGATAGTATATTTGTAGGTGAACAAGGCAACCAATTTTCACACATACTGCCAGATGAATGACTAATTTTATTGGGAGACTGTTAGCCATGGCACCGGGAGAAACTCCCTTTTCTTTTTGAATAGCGCCAAGGGACCTTTAACATCCATCTGTACAAGCAGATGGGACCTTGGTTTAGTATCTCATCCAAAGAATGGCACCTCTAGCAATGCAGCCAACCCCAGGATTGACACTGGAGTGTCAGCCTAAATCATGCAGTTAACACGAAGTTAAAAGAACTTTCACTAGCTTTTTGCTAATACCTTTGATTGATACACATTTCATGATCTATCGTAACCATAATTAATTGTCTTGTGGTCAAACTGGTTATATTTGCTACTTAGCTAACCCATCTCCTCGATTTACGAACAGTGCTTCATGTAACTGAAAGTCTCATGCCTGAGGCACTCAAATCTTTGATACAATACTTCCTGAGGGAGTACCTTCAGATTTACTTTCAAGGAACAAACAACGATCATCCAAGTTCGAAGAACCTGATGGACTGTCCTGACCGGATGAACAAGAAGTAACGGCTGAAACCTGTATTAATATAAATAACTGATCAGTAAATTCAGCACTAAAGAGAGGGAAAGAAAGAAAACAATGTCAACGAGAAAGATAGAACACTGCATATCAACATGCCAACTATCTGAACCAGTAGTACAAGATGATGAGAATTTGATCCAGGTAAATACAAGACGAAACACACATACTTACTTTATCACTATCTTCATTTTTTCAATGTTTCTCAGATCAAGCTCTCTACTGTATTTCCTTTTACTCATTATTGTAATTTATGACCAAAACAATTATTGGATAGTTCTGACCTGGGAGATCATGCCACTGAGCTTGATCTATCATTAATGCTGCCCTGCAGAACCGTAGACCTGTCTGGCTCGGGAACCAGAACACCAAGACCCCTCACAAAGAATGAACTAGATTCAGTTTTCCAATGACAAGGTGAGTCATCTTAGAGCTAACGCATTCCCACAGGATAGTGAGTATTTGATTATTAGACAGCTGACAAGTGCAGGTTTCAGCTGTGAACCAGACAGCAACAGCACAAACAAGGATTGGTTAATTAGTTGGATTCCTGTTTGACCGGGCTTACGGCCACCTCCCCCCGGGCTTGGAGTCAGGTTCCGCCACTGTTAAGCGCTCCGAGACACTAGCCTGCATGGAGGGCGCTATATAAGTGCAAGTTGTTGTTGTTGCTGTAGAACTGAATTCATAAGAACAGGAGGGGGCAAATTCAACCAATTTCATTGCAGATCTTTTAAAAACCATTTTACTAACCTTTTCTCCATCCCCTTTAAATTTAAACATCATTTGGAGGAAATCATAGAAATTTGGACTGCACAGTGCAACTCTGCTATAATATGCTTCACCACGGCAAACATTCCCTTATAATGCAGTTACACTGTAACGCATTGTACATTTGAAGACAGTATCCTGTTAATTGTACATGTGCGCAGCTGATCCAATTGCTTCACACCCGTCAACCAGCTTTTTGTGCTAAAACCACTGACTTCTGGTTCTTCAGGTCACCAGCAACATCAAATCCATTTCTGCAGAAGTGCAAATGGGATATTATGGATCCCAAACACCATGTTATAACGGGGCTGCATTGTAATATTTTTGCTTTAATGTATCTTGGAAAACCAAGAAAAGATTAAAAAGGGCAGAAAATTATTTTGTGAATAATATTTTACAAAAATAGGCCCATAATACAGTATTATAATTCAGTGTTTGGGACCCATAAAACCTCAACCCTCATGATAGAGCTGTGCATTAGAGGGTTTGACTGTGCATGTGTGCAACCTGTTAGTTCCTACGTTGACATGAAAAAATAGCTGAGTTCTGGATCATCGGGTCACAACATCATCATCCAAATTCTGCACATGTGCAAAGTAACCCATAGACCAAACTGTTTTTTTTTGCACAGGAAACAAAATGATCGACTTCCGATCAGTAAGTCATTGCTGTCGTGTCAACGGTGACCCTAACGAACTGGAAGTTGGTCATTTTAGTGCAAATAAATGGCTGATGTGCAAGTAGCAAGTGGGCCAACTGCATGTATGAACAACGAACAGGATCCACTGCAACACAGTTGTAGGCAAATCTGCACTATAGTGAAACGGGTTGTAATGGCTGCACTGTACAAGAGCGACAGAAATCAAGCATCCCCGAATCTATTCAGCAAATAAGCAACTCCCTATTCAGGACTGTACACAGGGAAAATGTGCACACTTGAAACTCCAACACTACATTCTACCTACCATCCTTTTTTTCTTTGACCCAGTCGGTCTGTTTGTGTATGCCTGTTGACTCTTCTGCAAGTAGGAACGCCAAAGATTGCACAGGATTTCATCCTAGGAAAAGGCAAACACCTCATTACCATGGTGCAATTACAGGAGTAGCTTATTATTGTTCTATTACACTGAAGCATGAAAGGATAGGATGCAGGTCTGAAGCTGTTTCCCTCAGTAATGAGATCTTGATCTCAGCAAGACATCAGGAAGATGCAGTGCAGAGGTGACATTCTCCTACACAAGGATAGGAAGGAAGCAGGGAAAGCCAGAAATCTCTCCAGGTAATTTTCTCACATAATATAATAATAATCCTTGCATTTGATATAAGGCCTTATCACGTCTTCTAGACATTTCAAAGCACTTCACAGAATATGCTGTAAAGTGAATTGGCTGTATATTTTGTGGACAAAACGCGGCAGCCAATTGCGCACAGCAGTGTCCCACAAACAGTCGTGGTGGATTGAGTGACCAATTTTTATTTTTTTGAAAAAATGATTAGCCCCGGAAAAGCGATCCACCAATTGACTAACAACCGGGTTCCTACTTACTGCTTGGTAAACAGAGGCATGCGGAATAAAGAAATTTGCCCCGCCAAATTTAGCCCTGCTGGGAATCGACCCCCAGGTCTCTCACTTGCGAGGGGAGTGCTCTAACCACTGAGTTACAGGATTCCAACATGTCCTCATGTTGGTCTTTCAGAGAAGTTAAACGACTGTTCAGCGCCTTTGGACGTCCTCTCGAGGTGAAAGATGCTTTACAAATGTAATTTTGTTGTTGTTTCTTGTTAAAGATCCAATGGCACTACTAGAAACGAGAAGTAAGTTTCTCCCAGTGACCTAGCCAACAATAATAATAATCCTTGCATTTGATATAGCGCTTTTCACGTCTTCTAGACGTCTCAAAGCGCTTCACAGAATATACTGTAAAAGAATTGACTGTATATTTGTGGGCAAAATGCAGCAATCCCCCAAATGAAATTGGTCATTTACTCCATGGCTGTTTGTGGAACATTGCTGTGCGGAACTGGCTGCTGCATTCCCCAACAAAATATACAATCAATCCACTTTGAGGTATATTCTGTGATGTGCTTTGAGACATCTCAACGATGTCATAAGGTGCTATTTCAAATATAAGGATTATTATTATTCCCAAACTCTCACGTTTGATCTGTGGTCTGTGCCGAGTTAGCACAATCAAGTTAACACAATGACTACTATTTGCCTCAATCCCTCAGATTAGGAAAAGGAAAAATTCAGCCAGGGTTTCTGTTGCTATCCACTATCCAACAAAGGTCTGCAGCCATGTCATTGAATAAACACGTTCCCCTTCCTTACCAGTTTTCAGATCCCACCTGAAGACCTTCCTTTTTGACCGTGCTTACAGTGGCTTCTCCCCTCTCCCCGGTTTGAAGTCAAGCTCTGTTCCAAGTCACTACACTACATGAAGTGTGCTAAACTGTGGTAAAGATAAGTTTGTGGGCAGTGAGACTCTCTGTTCTAGCTGCAACAGCAGTAGTAACAGGAATTGGTCATCTTTATTGTTTATTTACTGTGAAAATTGAATTGAGGAGAGATTATTTCTTTTTAATAATCTCAATTTCTTCTTAAAGTCCTGCACACAGACTTTAAAAAAATGTCGTAACAGGTTAAAACCACTACTTCATCATATAACAGCCCTTATGAAACGTAGCCCCCTGCTGGCGGTTTTCATCTTGGACGTAATAAAAAAAAGGTGCAAAATCGTTGCTTATCATCAACAACAAAATTACATTTGTACAGCGCCTTTCACGTCGGGAGGACATCCCAAAGCGCTGGACAATCAGTGCTTTGTCAGGGAAATAAAGGTAGAAATAAGGCTTTACATCAAGACAAAATATATCTCCTGGACTTGGGATAACTCTGCTCTAAACGCTCTGAGATGCCGCCTGGCAAGTTGTTGTTGTTGCTCTGACCTGAGACCCAGTTGCCATCGTGACAGACATAAACAAGGAACCCAAAGAGCACCCTTGGGAAGGAACCCAAACAAGCATTCGTTCCTCAACCTTAGCAATCGATTTAACTATGGTTTTGTTATTATGAAAATAATTTATCATTTATAATTAATAAAATAACAAATTTCAAAAGTTTAAAAAATAATGTTTGCACAAAAACATCACAGGAAGGAGGACTGCGGATACAATTTTTTTTACAGAGAATTCTTTGTAACCCTTCAATTTCAAATTGTTTAAATCCACAACTGTTTGTGGGACACTGCTGTGCACAATTGCCTGCAAAATTTCGTCCAACAAAAATATACAGTCAATTCACTTTACAATATATCCTGTGAAGCGCTTTGAGACGTCGAGAAGGTGTGAAAAGCGCAATACCAAATGCAAGGATTATTGTGTAAATAAAGTAGTTTATTTATATTTGGCACTTATTGGTACATTTTGAATACGCATCTATAATTTTGTTTTAGACAGAAAGTCTATTTTTTGGAGCAAAATTATCGATTTTCCCAATTTTGTATTAATATCCCTTGCATTTGAAGTATTGAGGTAGGGGGAATCTATGATTGGTGACGATACATGCCAGGTTACACCATTGCTGCCATTCTACACAGAGAATCATAGCTGCTTTGTGTTTACGGCAATCTGCAATGAGAGGCTCAAGTACTTTAATAACTGCTGGAATAGAGCCATAGTTTCTGTAGTAAAGAATTTTCAGTTATATAATTAGGACTCGAGATCAATAACTCATAAGTATACGGTTCTAAGTAAATTGAACCTTCTATTTTGGTAAATTGTAACAATCAGTTATATCATTTATAACAATCAGAACCTCTCACATTGGCGAGGGAGCACTCAAGGTGATAAATTCCCTCTCCCATCTGCTTCCTGCAGCAGCAAACTCACAGTAAGCCATCTTCAAATTCTTGCATTTGGTTGTACAGCTCAACTGTGTACCATAGGCCACAATTTCACAATCCAGGGGACAGAATTTCCCAAACTCTGATCAGGATCTTATTTTCTCACAAGATCTAGACACAGTTTTACAGTACTATACAGTTGGAGTCCTATAGCTCAGTGGTTAATGCGCTTGCCTCGCAAGGGAGAGGACCCGGGTTCGATTCCCGGCAGGGCGACACCTTAGGCACGTTTCCTTACTTCAAACACCTCTGTTTAGCGAACAACAACAAAATTACATTTATAAAGAACCTTTCATGTCGGGAGGACGTTCCAAGGCGCTGGACAGACAGTGTTACAGGCCCGAGCTGGGGCACGAGGTCAGGGAGAGTGGAGGCAGGGGGGGAAGCAGAGAGATCGAAAGCACGGTTGAAGAGAGAGGTCTTGAAGGTGGCAAGGCAGAGAAACTGTGGGATGGAGTTCCAGAGGGTGGGGGCAGAGTGGCGGAAGGCCCGCCCGCCAATAGTGGGGCGAGCGAGGCGGGGGACGTGAAGCAGGGTGGAGAGCTTTGAAAGTGAGGACCAGGATCTTGAACTGTATCCTCTGTGTGATGGGAAGCCAGTGGAGTTGGGCGAGGATGGGGTTGATAGGGTCGTGGAGCCTAGTGCGGGAGAAGACACGGGCTGCAGAGTTCTGGATGATCTGCAGCCTGTGGAGGGAGGAGTTGGGGAGGACAAGCAGGGAATTTGTATAGTCGAGCCTCGATGTAATGAAGGCGTGTATGAAGGTTTCGGCGGCCTGCGGTGTGAGACAGTGGCGGAGCCGGGCGATATTGCGGAGGTGGGGGAAGGCAGGGCAGGTCATAATGCAGATGTGGGGTAGAAAGGATAGTTGAGGGTCAAACAAGACCCCAAGGTTCGGGACTGGCTTAGCGAGGTGGGGTGTGCAACCATGGATGGTGATGCTGTCAGCGCCTGAGGTGCGGAGGCGCTGACGGGAGCCAATCAGAAAAGCCTCGTAAGTAGGACAGTAAGTAGGAGCCCAGTGGTTAGTCGATTGGCGGATCGCTTTCTGGGAGAAATAATCCCTCAAATAGAAAAAAATGTGGTCACTGATTCTACGGCTGTTTGTAGGACATTACTGTGCGCAATTGGCTGCCACATTTCGTCCACAAATAGTCAATTGCCTTACGATATTATTTGTGAAGCACTTTGAAACGTCTCAACGACATGATAAGGCACTATAGCAAATGCAAGGATCATTATTTCCACAAAATGTTAGTTCATTAACAGAGCTAGACGTTTCAAAGCACTTCACAGAATGTAAGACCAGTATTCACCAAATATTTGACATTCAGAGCATTGAAAATAAGCAAATTAGATAAACAATGGAAGATCATAAAAGGGTATGTAAAAGAACAGAGGAACAACATTAGAATATGCAACGCCAAAGAATAAGTTAATATGAGTTTATCCTTAATGAGCTGAATAGCTTTCTCATAGATTGTAATTAATATGATTCTATGATTTGTCCACAAAATATACAGTCAATGCACTTTACAGTATATTCTGTGAAGCGTTTTCAGATATTTCGAAGACGTGATAAGCGCTATATCAAATGCCAGGATTATTATTATTATTTATTATTATTATGATGGAAACAAGTTATATCCAAAATGGCCAAACCTGTTTTCTCAGATCTGGATCATTTTCCACGGAAGATGTAGTCTTGACCTGTCACCGCATGCACACTTACCGGCTGCATTAAAATACACAAGCGCAGTGTAGATCATTGATTAAATCGGATTTTATACAACTTATACAGTTTGCCTGCACTCGGACTTTATGTAAGTCATATTAAATGTTATGGTCTCGAATGATACGACTTACGTGAGTTTTACTGTATTCAATTTCCCAGCATGAATATCCCTCAGTCTGCTAAGCAGATGACACCCCCTATCCTCCCCATAACTCTATAAAATTGTTGCTTTCAATTCCACTGAGATCAGAATGAATCCTCTCTCTAAGGTGCTTTTATTTTGCTGTATAGTTTTAGATTTATGTTCAGTAAGAATGATATATCAATCCACTGAGGAAAATATTGAAAGTCTCATGTGTTTTTTTTAAAAAATCATTAGCTTTCTGGAAAAACATATCCCATGCTGTTTGTTCTGAAC